TTTTTAAAAATTTCTAACTAAAAGTTGTTTTTTACATTGAGAAAAAAAAGTTTTACTATTTACAAAAATTATTTTTCTTCTGCCTGACAAAATATTTATTTTACTACTTAAGCAAAAAATATTTTTATTTTGTCTAACATTACAATTATTTTTACAATTTTCACAATTACGTTTTTTATATTTCTTTGAACTGACTAAAACTAAAATCTCAAACATTCCCTATTTTTTGAAATTATTTGAGAAAAATTAAATAATTATTTTCTGTAAGTGAATTTTTTTGTAACGTGTTTTATATATTGTATAAAACTCGATGTATTTCTTCTTTGAATGTAATTTTAATTCACGTGAAGAATCAGTTGGATTTCTTTTTACAAACCTATATTGTAGATTCTCGTGAGAATTTGATGGGAAAGTATATATATATATATATATATAGTTGATTCCGTCAATGGAAGAATTATAGTCTCTTCTCTTTTACTTTTCTAGACTTATATGTGACCCTGGGGTCTGAATGCTATTCAACTATTCTTTCGTATTCTTCAGGGAAAGTACGCAACTTCTGATAAATCGAATACCTATTTTCGTTAACGAGTCGCAATTCTTTAACTTCTTCTCTTCGAGATGGTTCTCCACGATTTTCTCTATATCCTCTGAAAATACTATGCTGAATAGTACTGAACATTTATCTGGCTCCAAGAGAGAACGAGGAGAAAGTAAAGGTTGGTCATTATATGCAAACTGAATAGCTGACTACTCATCACTGAATTCAGCTTTCCCAAGTGGAATTTTCGAAGAAGTTTAAAATAATCCCGAGAAAGAAAAACCCATCCCCATTTTCCAACCAAATTAAAACTGACTTTAATCCATTTTCACTGAGGAATATAATTCAGGTGCTTTGTAATTAAATTTATCCAGAAAATATAAAATCTTAAAATATACTTTTACCTACTCACATCTTGTACTTGTCTCTCTCTCTCTCTCTTTATTATATAGCCCCAGCATTAAACTTCGAATGAATTTGCATAATTCAAAATTCAATATATTCAAATGAAAACTCCGAAGCGCAAACGTATGTAAATTTCCACTTCTGGAGACTATGACATTATTTTCCTTTTAATGGAATTACATTTTAACGTACTTAGATAACAAAATATTTTTTTTTTGTTTATTTATTTACTAAATGTAAAACACTCGAGTTACAAGATTATTTGTAGGCAAATAAAATTGCGGAAATATTGAATATAACTTGGTGCAAGTTATTTTTAAAATTACAATTACAATTACAATTACAATTACAATTACAATTACAATTACAATTACAATTACAATTACAATTACAATTTTTTTCAATTAATAATTACAATCATAATATAATTATCAATTATAATAATTAGAATTGTATTTGTAATTACAATTGAATGGTGAATTTCGAAAAGGGCTCAACTCTAAAAAGGCTAAGAGTCATTTTCACTATCAATTGTTATGCGAAAATGACACTTACGCTTTTTCGAGTTGAGCCCTTTTCGAAATTCACCATTCAATTAAAATTGCTATTCTCTACAATTACAACGATTGTAATTATAATTTTAAATGGAATAGTAATTATAATTGTAATCATAATTATAATTGTAATTGTAATTGTAATTGTAATTGTAATTGTAATTGTAATTGTAATTGTAATTGTAATTGTAATTGTAATTGTAATTGTAATTGTAATTGTAATTGCAATTGCAATTGCAATTGTAATTCAATTATAATTATACACTACAAAAAAATTATTTGATTTAAATAGTCGATTACTTGACTATTACAAAATAAATATTTCTTTGAACCAAATAATTTTCGTCTGATTCAATTACAGTTTATTTGATTAAAATAAAAATGCTTTCGATACATACAAATATTTATTTGTAATAACCAATTATTTGAATCAATGAAATTTGTTTTCAGTGTAATTATAATTACAATTATGATAAATATTATTAATCATAAATTATCTAAAGACAACAATTTGCTGAAATCTATTGGCAGTGAATTTTAATTGAAGTTCTCAAAGTGAGTATAAAGAAAATTGTGTCGACATGCAAATCAATGTCACAATTTTCAAGACGAGATTTTTCCAACTTATATTATAAGCGAGTTTAACCTATTTTTATTTTCGTTTAGTAAACTTTTGGAACATTCCCTTAATAGGCAACAAATCGATCAACATTATTGATTCAAGTTTTCTGCATTAAATTATTCAATCAAATATAAGTAATTCATAAACTCTATCGTCTTAAATTAATGCTATGTAAGGTACAAAATTTATTTTTTCCCCCCCTTTTTTTTATATACACTTCCTTTCGAGGAATTTTGCTAAAGACTTGGCTTTGAATAATCAGGAGCTTTAAATCATGTTACAAAAAAAAAGAAGAAAAATATTCCTGAAACCTTTCATCTTTTTGTAGAGTCAAATATAACTTCCACTCGAATATTTCGTACATTTTTATTTAATTTTCCCCGTTTGTTTACAAGGCAAACTATATAATTATTGTTCTTTTTAAAATTAGTTTATTTTTTATTTACCATATTATCTATTTTCTATATTTTTTTCATAATTATATTATATATAGGAAAATTTTTATATTTTATTCGAAAAGTGATGTTTATTTTTCACGAAAAAAAAAAGTTTATTGTAATTTTTTTCGGAAAGTCAAAAATAAATTTAACGTCAATGATTTTTTGGTGTCATTACAATAAATATAATTCGCCTATTTTAATATGTTTTCAAACATTAATAAAATTCGAAAGAATAGATGACAAAAATAAACACATAACACCTAGTTTAATTAAAATATTAAAATTTAATAAGCGTGAAATTATTATATCCGCCGTTAGAATTATATATCCCATAAGAAATAAAATTGCTTTCTTCCGTGTTTTTTTTTACTAATTCAGTCAAAAAAAAAAAAAAAAAAAACTTTTCTTTAATAAAGGGGAAAATAGAATCTGTGAATTAAAAAAAAAAATTCTTATCAATTTTTTTTTATAAATATTTAAAATAAATTATCTCTATTTTTCATCGAGTGTTTTTCAAATAAGAAATAAATAAAAAATTTTCAAATCATTATTTAACTATTTACTTTTTAAACAAGTACAATTTGATCCAGAGAGGATGCAAGACGTCGTAACATAATTGATTGATTAAGGAAAGTTATCTGAAGTGAAGTTGAAACTAAATTATGTAAATTTGTAAAGTACGTCTCACCCAAATAGATCGAACGCTCCATTATTCAGAATCACTGAAAAAGAAAATCCATTTTATTCCCGATAATTATAAATGTTTTCTATAGATAAATTCATAAATTACATAATTAGTAAAAATTTAATTTTAGAAATATTTAAAAAATATTATTAATATATTTAGAAATATTATTCAATATTAATATTTACATTTTACAATATTTCGAGGCAAATATTTTGAAAAGAAAAAACTATGGGAAATCTCTTTTTAGAATGTATGAACATATGACCTTTAAAATTTAAAAGTCCATCTAAATTTGAAATTTAATAAGCGTGACATAATATCCGCCATTAGAATTATAAAATTCATTATGCTTTTGTGCACATCTTTTTTATTTTTCCAATTTTATTATTTCTCACATTTATATTTTTTCACCGAACTATAAAATTGATTAATAAAAAAGTTAATTATATAATCATATGTGTTGTTAATTCAATCATAAAAATAAAATAATTATAGTCTGTATGATATTCCTCGAAAAAATGATATTCTAAAATGAATATAATCTTATGCTATATATAAATAGCATTTCATCATTTTGAATAGGAGCCAAGATTATATTTTTAAATTTAGAATATCATTTTTTCAATTAACAATAATTATAATAATTTTATACAGTAGAAATAATTCTAAAAAAAGAATATATTTTTCATTATAATTGAATTATTAAAAATCAAAAAAAAAAAAAAAAATTGATACAAAGAGAATAAAATTATATATATATAAGAGATAATTATGATTTAAAAATTAAAATTTATTTTTCGCCGTTGACATGTGAAAAGTGAGGGAAAAAAAAACCGGAAGCAAATTTTCTATTCACATAAAATGTTGATATCAGCTCGCGATAATTAAAAATAGCTTCATGCCCGAATAAAAAGTAGAGTAGGTTGACATTTTGAAAAGATTACGTAAGAATCCCAAGAGGTTCTTTCACGATTCTCACACACGATGCTTTCTCGTTTAAAAAGGCGACCGTAACTCAAGGCTACATAAATTTCTTCAAGCTACATTATAGCCAAGCCGATTACGTATGCCTAACCTGAAAAATCGTCTAGAAATCGAAAAAACCCACGTTGCTCGCTCTCATTTGAAATTTTTTTGATGTACGACTAATTTGCATTTTAAAAGAAGGTGGGAAAAAAAAAAATTTCTAAATTAAAATTCAATTGACAGTGATTTATTGTGTGTGAATTTTTTATTGTTAAATTTAATTCTATTGGCATTAATTTTTTTCCCAATTTTTTTTTTCTTTTCTTTTCAATTCCCTTTTTTCATTTAATTGAAGAAAAATTTTTTTAAAAAAAATTGTTAAAAAACAAAAGAATAAAAAAAATATAATATATTTCATAGAAAAAAATTTTTATTTTTGGTATAGAAATACAATTTTTTTTCATTTTACTATTTGTTACATTTTTGTAATAATAATTGGTAAAATATTTTATTGACTTTTTTCTGTAATATACAGAATTTCACAAGATAATTTTCGAATTAAAATATATATTAAATAAAGATTTTTCATTTAATTGAAAAATTGAATTTTAATTGAAAAAAAAAATAATATCTTTTCGTACAAGAAAATCGTCAATTATTTACAAAAAAAAATCTATAAAATTCTTTCTTATTTCTCTGCGACTGAATAAATTAAGTTATATTGTTATTTCTTATATGAGTTTAAAAATAACTAAAGGTACTGAGAATGAACCGAACTAGTGACTGAATTAATTGAATCGATATTTATACAATAGTTTCTGATTAATTAATTTAATTTCTATATTAAATTGACTAACTGTCACTGTAAATGAAATATCAGAGAATTCAGTTTGAATCTTAAAAATAATGAACAGTTATGAATTTTTTATATTGAGTATTTAGTTATATTTAATTGAAAAATCTAGATTGAAAAAAAAAATTAATATAAATAATCGATTATTTGAGTCAAATAATTTTTTAATTAATTTTTTTTTATATTAATTAAAATCTATATTTAGCGATCATTGTCCATTTCGTAATTTGGCGTTGGTTTATTGATGGTACCCCAAAATAATATTAATTTAGTAATATTGTGTCGTATAAAAAAGATGAATGGTCTGTTAGCAATGAATTTTGGTTTATCGTTCATTCTTTCAATTGCCAAGGCAACAGTTGCGGCTGATGCTTCAGTTCCTTTTTCATTAATATTTATTTCAACACTGTGCAAAACATCTTCGACGACTAATTTTGAATATTTAGTTTGATTATTATTTAATGAAGTAAAACCATAATTTAAATCAGCCTCTTCGAATAAAGTTTTCATTCCAAGTGATTGTAATGTTTCTTTTAAATGCAAAACACTTGTTAGTTTCATTTTTGGAAATGCAACAATACATTCTTGACTCTTCATTTTACGAATTAAATCCTCTAAAATTGATGGATTTAAAATTTTCTTAAATTTCTTTAAAGCCATTGCTCCTTCGACTTTTGGAAGTAATGCATACATTGTCGTCTAGAAAAACAAAAAAAAAATTTTAAATATAAAAAAAATATTCGTTTTTGAAAATTTTTAAAAATGACCTTACATTTGAATTTTTGTATGGTAATCCAATTATTTTAACACCCAATTCTTTGCTTTGATAATAGGGAAATTCGTTTGACGTGAACATTAAATCAATATTTATAAATTGATTTGGTTCAATTTTAAAATAGCCTCTGTAAATAATATGATGAAATTATATTTAAACTTGCATCAAAATTTCATATGTTTATTTTATTTACCTTCTTGTTGATGAATCAGAAAATGGATATGTCCATTCTGCATTAAAATATAATGCAGATGCAAAAATAATTTGCGCATTTCGATTGAGTTCATCAGTTAAAATTTGGGGAATTTTTCCATTAGTTTTATAATTAATCCATTTGTTTACAATTTCCTTTGATTTTTGACTATTTGTAAAATTCAAAGCATAGATATCGGTTTTATAAAATTTTCTACTTTTATCACGAAAATTATTTGTCATTCTATATCCTTCCTGATATAAAAAATAATTAAAATTTTTCACTAATATTATTTTTGTCTTTAAATATTTATTTCATAAAATAAAAAAAGGACAAAAAGAAATAAGAATTACCTGAATGAAAATTCCATTTGCATAATTAATTTGATAATTTTCACTATCTTTATTAATTATTTCTAATAATTGACCAAATATTTTGTGAATATCGCTATAATAAATTGAAGATAATTCATAGGTATTTAATTGTAAACCAAGAGTTCGTGAAATTTCATAAAATGTTTGTCCCTTTGATGCTAACATAATAAGAGCCAAATTTCCAGCCAGACATACTGGTGAAAAAACAATATTCTCGTTGTCGCCATTTATTAAATTCTTACTCATTGTAGACATTACATCATCAATTTTTAAGGCGAATTGAACGACACCATGTGAAATAACACTTTTCTATGAAAAATAATTTTAGAACATTGTTTTTATTGTCTATAAATTTACATTTATATATAATTGAAAAGAAATATAATTCTTTTCAATAATACACCAATAATTACTATTATTATTTATTGATAAATTATATTATTATTATTATTAATTTATTTTTTGTTAATTCATGTTAAACAAGACAAATTGAAAATAAATGAAGCAGTAAATAGAATTTATTTGAAACACAAGGGGGATTAAATTTCCCATGAAAATTATTAGAGGGTAAAACAATTTTAACAAATTATGGAAGTAAATGAAAATATTTGTTCATATACTAACAATATCAACATAGAGTCTTCCATTGTACACTGGATTCAAATATTCCATATTTCGTGTATTTGGATAATAACCTGGTACTGGAAAATTTTTATTATTTTTTTTTTTTTTAATATTTTGTTTATAAATATTAAATTTTACCCGCATATATTAATTAATAATTTGATATATTTAATGATTTATAAATAAAAAAATAAAAAAATAAACACATAGTAATTTAATTAAATTATGAAAAATTCACTTTAAAAATGTCAATTTGTATATATGAAAAAAAGAAATAATTTTTTTTTTTTGTATTTACCTCTTTCTCTTATTTGCTCTACTTCATCAGGCATGATAAATTCCAAATTCAATGCATTACTGCATATAAAAATGCAATAAAATATTAAAAATTGCTTCATATCTGTAAAAAAAAAAATCGTTTTTCTTTTTATTATTAATTCACAAAAACGTTTTTTTAATCAATTTTTTTTAAATAAACAATATAAAAAAAATTATTTATAAACAATTGTAAAAAATATTTCATTAATAATGTAAAAGAATAGTTATATAAATTTTGGGTAAAAATAAACGGTGACACGTGTTAACAAATGAAAGTGAATAGAAACAAGAAATAATTTACTTGATGTGATGTAAATAAGTGATGAGACCCTACTGACGAGTGTTAGAAACAAGCAACTTCAATTTGGTCAAAAGTGACTGACTCACTGCGACTATTAACTCGTGTTTTTCATTATATATGTAGGAATCATCCCAACGTAAATTCCGTCGCATTCACAATGTGTTATCTTCTTTATAACAATTACTGATATTATTTACCTTTCTATATATATATGACGTAATCAATTAGGTGTCTATGCCAATAAAAATATCAATTAATCACTTTCCACGAAGTTCAAATTTAATTACAATAAATATAATATATATATATATATATATATATATATATATATATATGTACAAGTTTGATCAATTCTATCAATTATATAATTTACATATTAAAATACTATCAATTAATAGGTACTTAATTAACATTTAATTAAATATTACACGCTAAAAATTTTTTTTTAATCCGTATAATAAATGAAATAAAAATAAAATAAATAATCAATTTATTTGTATTCAATAAATATTTATTTGTTTTAAATAAATATTATATTTGACTCGATATCAAAAATTGAATATTTAGTATTTTAAATAAAAAATAATTTATGATTTTTTCTTACTATTTACGAGTTAATTAAAACTAGATTTAATAAATTATTAAACATCTAATTAAAATTATTTTAATTAAATGAGATAATTTCATTAATTAATTATTAAAATATATTGTTTACTATTGTTATTAATATTACTATTATTTTCTTTAAAAACATTATTATTATCATCATTATTATTTTTATTACTATTTTTATTACTATTTTTATTATTATTATTATTATTATTATTACTATTATTATACATCCTTTTGTTTAATTAATTGTTCTGGAAGATAATAGATTAACATAATGTCCCCTTACTTATTCACTGCACGGACGGAAATTTTACATTTGTCATGAAAATTATGATTGAGAATGAACAATTGAATCTAATACAAAGGTGTGAAATGGGAAATTTCATATAAATTCTTAATTCCGGTTAAGAACAAAGAATTTACTTGTTTATATATTTATATAGATAATAGAATAAATCTGATTGTCGCATTTTTTAAGGAACGGATGATTTACTAAGGTCACACTTAATTAGATTCGACTGTATAGTAGTTAATTAAAAATTATTATCTATTATTATAAATTTTATTGCATCAACAATTTTATACTATTTTATATTAAATTATTTGTATAATAAAACTATATATTTAAATATTAACTTTTTCATATTAAAATCATTTTCATATGAAAAAATTTTCATTTACACATTATTTTTTATTGGAATAAGTTTTTTTTTTTTTTAATTCTGATGTATGGAAAATTTAAAAATGTATGTATTTTACTAATTTTATTGTGTAATGAAAATTACGAAAGTTATGATTTTCTTTCAATCTTAACGACTTCAGAGGAAGAATGATTTTTGTTTAACGTATGCCGATGTGCATAAATTCTCAGAGAGAGAGAGAGAGAGAGAGAGAGAGTATTGTTTTTCATTTTTTTCAAATGATTCACTTTTAAACAATAAATTGACGACTTGATTTATTACAAGACGTTTTTCGAAAAGCGTGTTTAAGCATAATTATTTGGTATTTTACCAAATAAATAATAATAATAATAATATAAATAATAATAATAATAATAATAATAAATTGAGAAAAATATAAAAAATTATAATTTTCATAAATATTAACATTAAATAAAACGAAAAATGCATAAATTGTTTGAAAATTACTAATCTCTAAACTTTTTTTTTTGATTCTTTATATTAAATTGACCTTTTTCGTTTTCTTATACATATATATATATATATATATATATATATATATATTCTGTATGAAACGAATTAATGTTAAAAATTCTTTTGAAATAAATTTTTTACGAAACTTGAAAGTATATGTCAGATGCAATTTTAATGGGACCTTGTCTCGATGATAATTTATTACAATTTTGAAAATTTTACTATAAATATTTAAAATGATTTTTATTCAATAATATTGTTAATTAATTTAATTTTAGTAGTCTAGATTATTGAAGCAAAAAATCAGTTGTAAATTGAATTTAAACAAATTTTAAAATTATCGAAAAATTGTGAAACGTAGTCTCATAAAAATGTCATTTTATAAATTTTATAAAAATTGAATAGAATTTAAAAATTTTAATTTTTCTTCATAAATTTTTTCAAATTTAATTTATATAAAAAAAATAAAATAGCCTTTTTTAAACAATGAAATGAATTAAAATTGTTATATAACAATTGAGGAAAATTAGGAAAAAAAAGTTAATTTTGATTTAGTTTTTTTTTTTTTTTTTTTTTTTTTTTTTAATGTAGATAATATAAATGTAACTGTTGTGACACTGAATTTTTGTTAGTAATTCAGACGTATTCTTGACAGGTGAATGCACGCATAGTTTTGCATTTTAGTGTGGATTTCCTACATAATTTGCCCCGCAAATACCAGCAGTCTCGTTTAATCGTCTGCAAATGCCATTCACGAAATACTCTCGTGCCTGAGATTCCGCGTTGTCACATGTGCATTTCAAATTTTCCAGTTTCTAGTCAATGATTAGATTTACTCTTTAAATGTCCTTTAAATTGCTTTTTCATCAAAATTATAATTTAATTCACAAAATTTCAATCTTATATGGATATAAATTATAGTAATAATGAAAAATTTTAATTATTTAAAAAAAAAAAAAAATTTTTTCACTAAAATCAATATTTAGAGGAACTGAATAATTTTTAAAGGAAAAAAAAAATGAATTTGAAAACAAATTATTGACTTTTTTTACTTTTGAAAATTATTTTCTTTTTTTGTAATTTTTTGAGAGTTCATATATATATATATGTATAGAGGTTAACTACTTTACTTGAGAAGATGAAATCACGAAAGCCATAAACTCTTGGTGTAAATAACCAACATTCCTAGCGACACATGGTTTTCTACTAAAGGAAGCAGCACCCATAATCTGTTTATTGTGCTAGAGAGAGAGACTATCCCCTTATAGCATCCAAAGTAAAAAAAAGGACATTTCAAAATAATAGTTACAATTGCTTTGGTTTTACTTTCTTGAACAAATAACAAAAAAAAAAAATTCCCCTGAATATGTTTTTTTGAAAAAACTAACAAATTAATTAATCAATAAATAATATTATTAGAAAAAATTTCAATGAATTCAGTTTAATAAAATTTTCCACTCAATGAAATATATGTAAATGAAAAATAGATAAATTATTCACAATTCACAAATGAAAATTATTGTAAATATCAATCAATAACGAAAAAATTACAAAACGTCTTCATTGAAAAAAAATGTTTTAATTAACAAAAAAGTTATTCTTGAAAATTATTTATTATTTGAAATTTAAATGGATATTTAAAAAATGAAGAAAATTAAACATATATATATATAGAATTATATCTTCTCTTTAAAAATAAAATTTAATATTTACAAAAGACTTCCACTATCTCTCACGTGGAAAAATTCATCTAGTTTATTATTCAGCGAAACTTTATTTTTATTTTTTTTATTTTTTTTTTGTTTGAAATAATTAGAGACGATATCAGTTTGTGTATTCGGTTAATGAAAACATCAGGGTCAGTTTCCTATTACTTATATCCACGAACAAAAGCTTCATGAAATATTTTCTCATTTCGGGTCGAATCTCACATTTCCATGTTTTTGTAAAATCGAGGAAAAAAATTTCATTTAAAGAGAGATATGCCATAATAAGAGAGGTGCGGCGGAAAAATAGAAGCGAAGAAAAATTGAACTGACCACATATATGTATATATAAGAGGTTTATTGAAGTCGATAAATAAATGTTTATCCATTTTTTTAAAATAGTCAATTTTCATTCACTTTACATGCAAACCACACGATTATTGATAAAGAATATAAGCGCAGAAGAAAGAAAGCACTTTTACTGATTATATTTGAATTATAATCTCTTTTTTCCTCATTGAATATAAACATCTCAACTATGCAATCTTAATTCATTTTTTATCCGAATAATAAATTCTTTTGATAAATCATTTTTAAAATATCCGAGAAAAGTTAATAAATTAAAAGGTTTCGAGGATAAAATTAATATTATCGTTGCTAAAAAAAAATCCTTAGCAAACGTTACTAAGGAAAAAAACATGGTAACGGTTGTCATGGAAACAGTTTATTCATTCATTTCACTATTAACAAGTAATCAAACAGAAAGATTTATATTTGAAGATAAATTTTATTTTCCAACTAAAAAAATAAAAAAAAAAAGGTAAATAGGTAAAAAGAACAAAATCAGTCAACGAATTCAAAAAAAGGAAACTTTTTATTTACAATTTCTATCCTTTTAAAAAAATCGAGAAAATAATTCAACTTTAACCAGAAAGATTTAAATACTTCTTTTGTTTGTTTCAATCAATGTTGATGTGATTCGTTAAATTAAACATTTTTTTTTCCACTCGATGAAATTTATCTCACTTTATAAATAGAAATGTAAATAAAAAGCATATTCATTTTTTCAATGGGTTTACATTTTATATATACATATATAAAAAAAATGTAAAAAAAGAATTTACCTAAAAATAAATCTCACACAAATGATTACAAACTTTGAGGATTACAGTGAAAAAACGTGAAAAATAAAAATGAATGAAAGTGCAAATGTTGTAAATATTTGAATGCTTTTTACTTTACACGTAAATCCGATTAAAAGTGGATTTTACAAAGTTCAGTAAACAACACAAATGTTATTAAATTTATAATGTGGACCAGTTATTAAACTTGACCATTTTAATATTTAATAATAATCCTCGTTGATTAATAAGTCAATATTTATAATTGAGAGTAAATGTCTAAATGTTGAGTTTATAATATTAATTAAAATTTTGTCATTTTCTGCGTAACTTTATTTTATAACTTCTTAAATATTCATCTGCACGAAAAGGGGAATTTTTGTTTCTTTTTATAAGTTTATTAGCTCGTACTTAGTGATTAAAAAAAAATAAAATAAAGAAATAAATAAAAAAATTTAAATATGTTTAAAAAGTTCAAAATTAAAATTATTTACTCTTG